ATCAAGAGTTTAACCCCACCAGGTGCGCCACGGGAGAGAGAGATGGCCATTTGCTTCTGTAAAGATTCAACAAGCCAACTTCCATTGCATCCATCCCATCCTTGGAAATCCTACGGGGCTGTGCTCCTCTGTCCTAGTGGATCATGAGGAGTCTGAATCAACTCCCCAGAAACTGGGGAGCGGGATCTAGGGTTCCTTAAGAGTGCCGATTGTGAACGCACTCCACTGAGAACTCCAAGCTTAGCCAGAGGCACCTGGAAGTTCTGGTGATGGCCTCCAGTGGGTGACAGCATGGAAACCGTGGGGCACACAATTCTACTCGAACACATGTGGGTTGTCCAGTCATGAGTCAGAGTGGGCTCAATATCAACTGGTACTGGCGGGCATATTGCAAAGCGCATTGCGTTTAGGACCAGAAAACCGAGACTGCATACGTGGCTCTTCCATTTGCTTCACTGACTTGGGCACCATATGGAAATCATCTGAAAAGTTATCTCATCTCTTAAGTGGCTACAGTGATAGGTTTGTGCTTCAAGGGCTCATGGGATCATTCTGCCTGCGTTGTGCTGTATCAGGAACAGCCGTAGCTGTCTGTTGTAGACATGGGATCAGAAAAATGCAGGCCCTTTTCTCAAAGAGAGCTCTGTCTGATAGTGGAAGGAAACACAGAGTGGTGAGTGTTGTAGACTTGAGTTGTGAAGACCTGGGCGAGAGGACACACAAAACGACTGTCACCACACCCAATCCTTTGTGCCTGTTGGTGCTTTGCGGCAGTTCCCCTGGACACCACCACGTCACTTCAGCTGGCTTGCACAGGTTCTCCGTCAGCACTGGCCATCCCCCCACCATCGGGAAAGACCAATCCCCGGAGAAGGGTATCATGCTTAGTAAGGCAGAGAACCAAGAAAGTAAGAGACATCTTCAAAATGACCCCAAGAATGGACTCAACCATATCAGACATCGTGGGGGTGGCTGTGGGCTGACCACCTTGTTCTTTTCTACACGAGGTCACAGTGAGTCAGGGCTCCCAAGAGGACAGTGGAAAATCAAAAAGTGCATGAGTGTGGAGCGGAATGTGAGAAAGAAATGAGCAACAAATCTGCCTAACCAACCCTTCCACACCGCACGCCATCTACGGGGAAGCAGCCAAACATGCAAGGGACAACATGAAAGTCGAATTCAAAGAAACTCAGCCCTGGGTAATTTGTGAGCTGTATGGTGTGTGACAAACTACCTCTCTCTCTAAGCTTCAATTTCCTCATCTGTCATTGGCAATAATATGAGGTCGCTTCAAAGAGTTCGTCCAAAAATGGAATTGGAGGCTAATGGAATTTTTCCACAATATTTTTGAAGCCCCATTGTCATATCGACTTTGAAGATAGCTCTTAAGACTTAGAGAAATGTAGAGAGTCCACACAGCGGCCCATAGAAGCAGGTGAAAGCCAAGTCAGTGCCATCGCCATCATCACTTATGGGCTCTGAAAACTAAAGGTGGTTGCCTGCTCGTGTACATCAGTCAAGCCTCAGAATCCTAGTTAGTGGCTCCATATACAAAATCCTGATTGGAAAATATGCAGAGAAATTGGAATAAGCAGAAGCTAGAGATGCCACAATTCTTCTGGTAAAATTCCAACTTTCTGCAAACTGGATAGTGATATTCTAAAAATCCCCATATGCTCAGACACCATGGAACACAAGATGAACCTGAGCACATTTACAGGGGCACATCAATTGGAGAAATGTGGAAAAAATCCAAAAGATGAGTACCTTCTCCTTTGCCAAACCAGATTTTCCTAATGTTCACTAAGAGGTGACAAGGGGCATAGAAAGCCCCAAAGCAAACTCGAGTAGTTACAGAGATATCTACAGAACAGATGTCTCTCAACTTCATCCATGCTTCGGAGATAATTCGCTGCTAGATTTTTTTAATCTCTCTCTTCACACACACACACACACACAGACACACTCTCTCTCTTAAAAACACACACTCACACGCATGCACACACACGTTATCCATTGCAGAAGCTGTCCCTTTGCCAGATGGTGTTTTAACACATCATGCTAGTTCAAAGCTCCATTAACAGCACATCCCATGGATAAAATATTGGAAAGAGTTTAGCTGTACGGCAGCTCCACAGGCCCTGATAATATTTCCTTCTCATGATATACAAAGAATTCCTGCTCTTCAGGAGGTTGAAATGATGACTTGGGAGGACAGCAGAGTACTCCAAAATGAGGTCTTGAGTTCTCTGAGGGAAAAGGCAATGTCTTATTTATCTTTTTCCCCTCGATTCCTGAAAGAATGCCTAGCCGAGAGAAAACATTGCATAACTGCTTGGTTTGCTTTTTATAAGCACTGAGTAATTGAAGAACTCAGTCGGACCTGTCCCTTTTTTAGCATAGACAAAACACTTAGGTACTCCTGTGCAGGGACTGAATTGTGCCCCACCCCCTCCAATGTGTCATAGTAGTTATACATTAGCCCGAAATCCACACGATCCTCAGCTCTTCTCCTGTTAACAGTGAGCAGTCTTAGAAACCCACAGGGCAGTGCTAGCCTGTCCTGTAGGATCACTGATTCAGCGTCCACTGATAGCAGTGAGTTTGGCTTTGGTTTTTCTCTCCCCTGTGAGTCACAATCCTAACCCTACAAACTCACTGTTATTGATCTATTTCAACTCACAGAGACTGTGTAGGGCAGAGTAGAATGGCTTCGATGGGTTTCCAAGACCGTAAGTCCTTATGATGGCAGAAAGCCTCAGCTTTCTCCTACAGGCCAGCTGGTGGTTTCAAACTGATGATCTTGTGGTTATAAGCCCCAGAGTAAGCAACTGTACTATCAAGGCTCCTCATCCTAATTCCTAAACCTGTGGACATCGATCATCTCATTAGGGATTTTTGTTGTTGTTGCGCTAAGAGGGTAATATCCAATATTGGGAGCAGCAGATATACTGATGTTGGTAGGTGTCATTGCGTGACTCCCAGTAGCAAGTCAAGATAGTTTCTTGGACTGTCTCCCTATCCAGGACTTAGATTTGGAGATGTTGTTTGCTGGATATTGACTAAGTCTAGTCTAGTGGGTGACTAGCCAACAATAAGCATTAGCGTGACATGTTGCCTTTGCCCAGAAAGATATCCGCTGGATGATATGCGGGGACTCCAAAGCACTCATGGCAAAATGGAGTTGAAAGATGATGGGGGCTCTCCATGAACTTGTTTGCATTATCTTTTTTTAAAAGATCACTTTATTGGGGGCTCGTACAACTCTTATCACAATCCATCCATCCATCCATTATGTCAAGTACATTTGTACATTTGTTGCCCTCATTGTTCTCAAACATTTTCCTTCTTCTTGAGCCCTTGGTATCAGTCCTCATTTACCCCTCCCTCCCCCACTTTCCCTCCCTCCCTTATGAACCCTTGATAATTTATAAATTATTATTATTTTGTCATATCTTAAACTGTCCAGTGTCTCCCTTCACCCACTTTTCTGTTGTTCATCCCCCAGGGAGGAGGTGATATGTAGATCCTTGTAATCGGTTCCCCCTTTCCACCCCACCCTCCCTCCACGCTCCATGAGCTTTTTAAGTTACAAGTTATCGTTAGGTGCCCTCGAGTCTGTTCCTACTCACAGCGACCGTATGTACAACAGAAAGAAACACTCCCTGGTCCTGCATTACCCTCCCAGTTGTTATGTTTGAGCCCATTATTACAGCCACGGAGTCAATCCAGTCCTTTCCCAGGCCGTCCCCCTTTTGGCTGCTCCTCTACGTTACCAAGCATGCTATCTCTCTGTAGGGACTAGTCTCTCCTGATTCAGAGGACTTGAGACTTGAGACAAAGTCTTGCCATCCTTGCTCTGAGAAAGAATCATTCTGGCTGTACTCTTCCTGGGACATATTTGTTCTTTTTCCAGTCCATGGAGCTTTCGATATTGTTCACTAGTGCTACAATTCAACTGCATTGGTTTTTCTTCAGTCTTCCTTATCTAATATTCAATATCCATGCATATGAGGTGAGTGAAAATGCCCATGGCTTGAGTCAGGCACATCTTAGTTCTCAAAGTAACACCCTTGCTGTTCAATATTTTATTTTATTTTTAAAATCATTTTTTGGGGGGCTCATACAACTCTTATCGCAATCCATCCATCCATCCATTGGCTTTTCAACATTTTACAGAGGACTTGTTCAGCTGATTTACCCAGTGCAGTCTGTCCTTTGAATTCTTGACTGCTGCTTCCCTGCATATTGATGGCGGATGCAAGCAATACAAAATCCTTGATAGAGTCCATCTTTTCTCCACTGATCGTGATGTTACTCATTGGTTTGGTTTACATCGAGTTGTCATCCATGCTGACGGCAGCCGTCCTTGAGCTTCACCGACAAGTGCTTCAAGTCCTCACTCTCAGCGAGCAAGGTGATGCCGTCTGCACATCATGGGCTGTGAACATGCTTTCCTCCAACCCCGATGCCACGTTCCTCTTCACACAACCCAGTTCCTCTGATCATTCCCTCACCACACAGGTGAACATCGACTGCCCTGACACACCTTTGTTGATCTCAACCCCCAGAGGGTCCCTGGTTCTTTTTGAGCAACTGCCTCCGTCCATGTACAGGTTCCACATGAGCCTTGCAATCCCTTAGGGGCAGTTCTACCCTGTCCTACAGGTGGGCTTTGTCACAGCACCCACTTGATGGCAGCTGGTTCTGTTCAGAGTTTATGTCCCTTTGAATAGTGTTGTTATGTTCTGGTGTGTTGTTCTATGTATTCCCAAATTTCAGCATCTGGCCCTCGTACAATATTGCTTATCTAACATGCACACAGGTCAGGACTGTGACCCTGCTGTCAGAACAAGTGTGCCAAATCAGACCAGTTTGCACATGTCACTCCCCTTGAAGTTCCTTTCTGCTCATAGAGGGTAGAAACCTTGAGGAGACGTTTGATAGTGATGGATGTTTAATGCTGTGTTTCCTTGTGTTTCTGTCTTGACCCCACACAGAACTGTGACCTGGAGCAGCAAAGCATCGTCCACGTTGTGCAAAGACCCCAGAGCCAACCTCTGGAACCTGAGCCGACCAGAGGGGCCCGCCCCAGGAACACCGCGTGGGGCGTTGGGAGGGAGCCTGAGAGCTTGACCCGGGTGAACCTGGGCAACTCCATCCTCCCTGCAGACTCGGTGGGCCTGGCTGTGGTCCTGAATGATGACCGGAGTGCACCCTCACCGTCTGTGAGCGCAGGTAATTGCATCTCCTTCCAGGTGACTAACGTGATTCTCTTGTTGCGTCCTCGAGTCTTCATGGGGAAGGACCGCGTGGCTGGAGCTCGTGGTTGGGGGTAGAGGAAAGGTGGAAGAATGGAGTCCACCCAAAGAGGCCACAGAAAAATGCCTAGCCATCTACTCCTGACAGCTAATCATTGAAAACCCCCTGAATCCCAAGTCCCACTCTGATACACATCAGGTCACTGGGAGCCACGGTTTACTGCACAACAGCTGGTCTGGTTTGGGTGGTAACATAATTCATATATGGTGGGTTTGGGACTTTAGTCTATAATCTCAAGAGGAAGACTTCCTGAGAAGAAAGGATGTAACATATGTCATGACTGCATTCCATAATAAGTGCTGTGGAACTGGGTTTCATGTTTAAGAATAAATGTTAGCAACAGCGAGGGTGTCTGATGAGAGGATATTATTTTTGTTTTGTTTTGTAGTACAGTAGTAGGTGGATGTGTTATGTTGGTTCCTCTAGAGAAGCAAATCAAGGGATGATTGCGGGTGATAGTTAGGGATTCTGTGAACTAGGCATTTCTGGGCAAAGGTGCAGATAGACAGCAACCTATCTATTGGATCACAGCCTGATGACACCTCCTTGGGGGTGTGGCCTTTTATATAAGACAGAGAGGGACCAAACAGAGTTTAATCCTCTTTGACCTCCCACCTTCTGTTGGAGCTGGCACTGGCACCTGGGTTCCACTCTTGTCACATGACCCGCCAATCCCAGCAACCATCAGTGGACCACCAACAGTGGATTCATTCAACTGACTTCAGATTCATATTACCTCTACATCTTCCAGCCTGGGCTCCCCCCACTGTCTCTGCTTTATCATTTTGCTTCCTGTTCATCAGCTTCCATGAATTAGGAGATGCCTGACTTGAACCGAACTAGACATACACATTCCTACAACTGGGTAAGCCATTTCTTAGTATAAATCTCTTTCCATATACAACACATAAAAGTGTTGCTTTCTGTGCTTCCTCAGAGAACCCAACCAAAGAAAAAAAAATTATACCAATAAAGTGGCTTATACAGTTGTAGAAGTGGGTAAGTCTGGTTCAAGTCCTTGGGTCAGCTATTAAGATGGACAGCTTTTGCTAACTCAAGTAGCTGCCAGGGCTGTTTAACCAGGAAGCAGGATGAACAAAGCTGGTGGATACAGAGATGGATGAATCCAAGGTCAACAATCATTGGGCAGCCTCCAATGACTCCAGCGTTGGGTGGCAATATGGCCGGCAATTTACTACTGTCCAAAGAACTGGAGGTCGCCGAACCAGATGCAGGTTCCAGATCAGCAAGAAGCAAATAAGTTCTCCACAACATCAATTTATACATGAGGCAGGCCACCCCCCGAGAGCACCCCTACCTGAGTAAGGGGTTGGGCTCCATCCTAATCTTCCCACAATGGCTTTGCTGCTCACAGTGGATCCCACCACGGCAGTGGTTGCATCATTTTAGATTTTGTGACTGGGGAGGCCCCAACGGCCACACGAATGAGAATCAAGGATCTTGGCTCAGGCAAGTTGACAAAAAACTTACCGTAGATACTCAAGGATAAGCCGACCTGAGTATCACCTAATTTTACCACAAAAACTTCTCTAAGAAATGTGCTGAAAAACTCGGCTTATACACAAGTATATACGGTAATTATCATGGTGTGAATATGAATATGATAAAATGTTTGAGGAGTAACTTATGTAAGGAAATACATATCCATCTTCCATTTTGGCCTTTATTTTTGTCTACTTCCTAATTCTTTTTCTTTTTTTTAAGATCATTTTACTGGGGGTTCTTACAACTCTCATTACAATTCATAGATCAATTGTATTTGACATATTAGTACACATCATTCTTTTCTAGACATTTACTTTCCATTGAGCCCTTGGAATCAGCTCCTCTTTTTTTCCCTCCCTCCCCCCTCTAACCCTTGTGGCCCCTTGATAGATTATTGAGTATTAATTATTTTCAAATCCCTCACTGACTGCTGTCTCCCTTCCCCTCTGGTTTCTATTGCTCTTCCCCCTGGATAGGTGTGTGTGTGGTTATGTGCCATTCATTGTGATCGGTACTCCCCTCCCTTCCCCCTTCCCCCC